AAGGTAGCTGTATGAGGGCATGACTAAATAAACTGAGGCTAGGTTGGTATTTGGAGCTTTCTACCAGGTGAAGCTAAATCATTATTACCGTACTAGCAAAATACTCCATATGTGCTGCTCGTATCCCCAAAAGAGCCAGCTAATGAGTATAGTTACACAAGGACTGAAATTTGATAGTGTGTTTTTTTAATCAAGGTAGCAATGATCATATAAATAAGTTTATATCTCTGAAAGTATCAATCAGTATATAGAACATAAATAGTTGCACCAGCATGTTCTTAAGACACTTCAGTCTCACTTCCTCCTCCTTACAGCTATTGTGAATCTTTCAACTACTTGGTTATTTTTCAGCAACAGAAGTCTTGACCATTTGTGTTCAGGCATCTACATTCTCTTTCTCTGTTTTTCTCAGTGGCATCTGTCAGTGTTATTCCCAACCCATTCTTTGCTTCTTTCAGTCTGACTCTAGCACACTTTTCTGAAAGTCATTCTCATCATGGTTCTGGGGTTCGACAGTACTGAACTTCACAGGTTCTCAAACTCTTCCACTCAAATACCTCTGCATAAAGTTCTTTGCACTCAACCTGTCAGGGTAAGAATGACTATGTTGTCCTCTAGGTTTACAGAGCTTGAGGCCGCATCTAGATCGCTTAAAAGATTGGCTGTTCTCCCTACCTTGTTTATCCGTGTTAAACAGCTTATTCGGTTGTCTTCATCACTGGCCCAATTAATGAGCAGAAGTAAATAAACAAGTGTGTTGAACTACTAGGCATAAAAAAAAATAAACAAAGGAGGATAAGAAAGTAAAGGAAGGAAAAGTCATCCTAGGGAAGGTGCTCAAAAGCAATTTGTCATATTTCAGCTTCTAGGACTAATCATGCTTTGATGACATGAGGTGGTGTGGCCTAACAAAGTGGCCAACAGGTCATGGGAGGCAATTCTCCCTCTGCTCTGGTGAGACCCTACCTGAAGTACTGTGTCCAGCGATAGGGTCCCCAGCGTAAGAAGGACATGGACCTGGTGGAGTTGAGAGGAGGATCACCAGGGTGGACAGAGGGCTGGAGCATATCTCCTACGAACACAGACTGAGATAACTGGGGTGGCTCAGCCCGGAGAAGAGAAAGCTCTGGAGAAACCTTAGCCTTCCAGTACTTAAAGGGGGCCTACAAGAAATGTGGAGAGGGACTTTTTACAAGGGCATGTAACAATAGGACAAGGGGGAATGGCTTTAGGCTGAAACAGGGGAGATACAGATTAGTTATTAGGAAGTTCTTCCCTGTGAGGGTGATGAAACACTGGAATAGGTTTCCCAGAGAAGCTGTGCCTGCCCCATCCCTGGCAGTGTTTGAGGCCAGGTTGGGTAGGGTTTTGAGTAATCCTGTCTAGTGGAAGGTGTCCCTGCCATGGCAGGGAGATTGGAACTAGATGCTTTTTCAGGTCACTTCCAACCCAAACCATTCTGTGATTGTATGATACCTACTGAGGAAAATAAAGAAAATTCTTGGGTTCAGAAGAATTGCGAATATAGTCTCTTTCTAAATGTGTAGTGTGCAGCTGAAGAACATGAAACATTTATGTGAAATAGTCAATTGATAGGAGTCTTTGAATTACAGATCCTTCAGGTTTTTAACACTACTTTAACATTAAAAGATGACTGATGAAAGGTTGATAAATTATGATTATAAACGGCTCTGATCTTGTATGTTGTGTATGTTTGTGGAAGATTTGTTGCTGTGTTCCATTGAGTCTTTCACTAGAAAAACCAGTGTTGTAAGAGAAAGATATGATCTAAATCAAGGGTTAAGAAGCTTTGTGTGATCAAGTTCTCAATTTCTGTAATACCAGATCTTGAAATGCTACTCTCATGATGATTAGGTAAGCTATCATCCCAGAATATTTGAGTAGCGTAATTATTGCTTTTTCTTTTTTTGTATCAGGATGCAACAGTATAAGTTGTCTATTCATTGCTAATAACCATTCAAAATTAAAAAACCAGGAATGAATCTCTAGGAAATTAGAGGTATCTTGGTACTAAGGGGAGATGCTAAAATAATTCCCATAATGAGATCGAGTGGCAGATTTGTGCTTTGTTTCCAGGAAGACTTTTCCTTTCCTTTAAAAAAAAAATCCAGTTATTATTGCAGTAGATGAATAGATTCTTTAGCAAGAATGTGTGTGAGGGGAGGGGAAGGACAGAAAAACCCCTTCTAGTCTCTCTGCTCATACCTTGTCTAGTAACTTTGTAAAGGAAAGCTTTTCAGCCACATTCTTTTAACAAATTTAGGTATGTAAATTGGTAGAGAATAGATAATCTAAAGCATATGATCTTGATGAAGTTGTCAAATAAAAAGCACCTCCAAATGAAACATGGGGCTTTGAGCAACCTAGTCTAGTGGAAGGTGTCCCTGCCCATGGTAGGGGTGACAGTCTTTCAGGTCTCTTCCAACCCAAATTGGAAGTGATTCTAATTTGCTCTTTTACAGGATAAAGACAGCTAACTCCACTGCTTGCTGTGTCTCCCACCCCGCTGGCTGCCTTCTGCAGATAGGTGTGTCATAGGCTTGTATCCCTAACTCTTCTGTCTCTTTCCCAAATAAGCAAAGTTTCTTCTCTTCCTCCCTCTTATATCCCTGGACATGGTGTTTCCTCCATCCACCCTATTTAACTCCAACTCTTCTGAAGTGAACACCTACAATTTTTAGCATCTACAGTCAGTTTGGCAAAACTGTAGGCTATTTGTAATAAGAAGGTACTGGGTTATTGCAGGTATGTGTAACACTACCTGTATTTCTTGCATCACTGATGTTACAATGCTGTTGACTTGGAAATTTAAGCCTCTCTGAAGTGGTGGTTTATCGCTGATTTATTTAAATGCTACAGCTGCGTTTGTGTGGAGCAAGGAATATTTCTGGATGTTCCCTAATTTCCTTTTCAATGCATTCAGTCTGTGTTCCTTTTAAGAAGTAGGAGAAGAAAGCGCATACCAAAACCCTCATGTTTTTATTTCTTTATCCAACAGGACATTTGGGGCTGTTTCATTCCCATGTCTCCTGCCCTAAATATAAAGTGAGAGGTGATGATAATGTTCCTTGAGCTTTATTTGGAATGTAAATAAGACAAAAGATAGTTACTCTCAATGAAGCTATTTTGTTGTGCAAGGGTTTGTAAGTATTTTTGGTTTCTTAGTTACTCAGGAATAATTAGCCTTCCCATAATCTTTCCTCTTCTTCTAAAATTACAGTCTTCCTAAGACTGGAAATCAGTTGTCTTTTCCACCTGATGAGGATTGACAGTGAACACAAAGGATGATTTCCTAAAAGCTGATGCAGTGCCTAGTAAAGCCTGCGGAAATTACAGGGAATGATGGTGTCTGACAGAATCAGATTCCAACAGACTTTCTTGGCTCTGTTAGAAACTTTAAAGCTGCAATGGCTTTTTAGGAGAAACTGACTAAAAGTGCAGTGTCCTGGGACTGTCCCTCAGACATTTTTGCCGAGAGACAATATCAACAGCATTGCTTCTCCTTCCCATAGCATGTCTATGTATTGGCCGTTTGCTTCGGAATAACTGGCTACTGAATGTAGGCTGCGATAATCATACAGCTGAAGTATTAATTGAATGTAGTTTTACCATACTTCTTGCTGCTCTCTTGAGAGAGCCTTTTGATTACCATAATTTAGAGGACTTTTAAGTCCTATGACATAGTTCTGCCTTTTGTGCCTGTGTGAAAGGGGAAGGGTTAGCTACTGCTAAATGAAAAATCTTAAAACTCTGTACTATGTATATACATACAATATTGATACTGGACTAAAAGGACTTCAGTTACTGTGTAGCAACCATTCTTTCTCAGCATCCTTTCATGGTACGTTTTCTTTGAGCTGCTAAGTATTTTTTAAATTATCCAGTTGAGTCATATGACAGTCAAATGACTGATGTAAATCAAGCTGCAATAATTATCAGGCATAATCTATAACTATCCTGCTGTTATAAGGAAGCTGTGTGTATGTGTGTATATATATATATATATTTAAGGGGGAACTGCAGAAAAAAAAATCTGAATTGATGACAGTTTTCTGGGCTTATGTCAGTCAGGAAAATGTACCCCAGTTTGTGAATTTTGTGGTGATCTATACCTACTGTAGCTAAGTTGGCAAAACCCAAACCCTTCTTTTGTTGCATTTCCCCACCCTTCTGAGTTATAATGCGTCTTAGAAAATTGCCACCAAGCGAGAAAGATTCTTTAGTTCTTACGTAGCTTCATTGATGGTTCCCGCTCTTTTCTTTGAAGGTAATGTTCATGTCTGACAGTCTTCAGAGAAATGTTTGTACTCCACACATTCTCATGATCTCTTGTCCTTGCTTAGTAATTTAAATAGTAGTCACTACTTGTCCCTATGAAGTTCTCTGGTAAGCAATTAGAAGCAAGGAGTTAGATGTGTTAAAATTTCTTGTTAAAATTGTAGTGTTTTTATTTGTGCCTTTGAAGCTAATTTGATGGAACACTCTTATTATGGTTCCTGGGTGGATAAACCAAAGTCTTTAATCTCGGTTTTCTCATGTCATGTTACCTGACGTTGCCTCTTGTTAAAACAAACAGTGCCCACAAAAACAAACCAACCAACCCAAATAATTCTTCCCTTTCTTCCTCATTCAGTCTTTGTTCTAGAGAATATTTCATTCTGCAGGCGTACTTACAATACCTAGTGAGAAATTGCAATTAACAATTAAAAGAATGATGGACTTCTTTTAATTATTTGGATTAAAATGGTGCCAGAATCCTTTTTTATAATTTTTTGGTCATAATAGTTACTGCTTTATGATAGACTGCTAAAAGGGGAAGGTGTCTTGAGCATATGCTGATATTATCCCATTGATTCCTTTTAAGATGGAAATAGTATTGCTTTTCTCTTGTTGTTGATGTATGCAATGTTTAAAAGTTTCTTACTTGTAAACTTCTTGTCTATGAACTATTAACCCTTTATTTGACTGCTTTCTTTCAGAGATGTGGTACTGGGTCTTCCTCTGGGCTCTCTTCTCCTCTCTCTTTGTCCATGGTGCTGTGGGAGTATTAATGTTTGTGATGCTGCAGAGGCATAGGCAGGGGAGACTGATCTCTGTCATTGTGGTCAGCATTGGATTTCTGGGCTCTGTAACAGGAGCAATGATAACCAGTAAGTCTGCCTCTTGTTTTGTGTTTCTTTCTTGTTTTATATCCAATTTCTAAATGGTGGGGGGAAGCCCTAAAAAAAACAAACAAAAAAACCCAACAAAACCCAACCTCCCTTCCAAAAAAAAACCCAAAAAACCAAAAAACAACCCCCCCCAAACCCCAAATCCACTTTTTATTTATTTTATTTTTAGTAATTTAATTGTTTATTAAGGATTTTTCCTTAGGTATATAGCTATCCTAATGATAATGACAGCTGAATTGCTCTTCTGTTGTGTAAAGGTAACTACTGTAAATTGTCAGGGGAGTGCAGAAATCATCCTACTCTTTGATTTTGCACATTTGGTACCAAGCTATTCAGAAGGTGTATGCTCAGCATGTAATATCTGTTTGAGACCAGGAAGAATGGTCGTGTCCTACCATACCTGTTGCAGATTTATTTACTTATTTTTATTTTTTTTTGTCAGAGATTTCTGATCAAGATCATCTCTTAGTACCCTTAAAGCTAAGAGTTTCTTTAGAAAATGAGGTCCTGATTCCATTGGTTGCCAGGCTGAATTCCTGCTTGTTTCATTGGGCCTGCTGGAGATTTTTAAATTGCACCTGGATAGGATGTAGCTGTTTTAAAAGAAATAAAGGTGCAATGTCGGTAGTGATTTACAGCTAAGAAAATCCATTTGCTTGGGGAAGTTACACTTGGCTCATGAATTTGAAAGGACTTTCCAGGCTTGGGTTAGACGTAATGTTACTTTCTACTTTATTTGGGGTAGGGAGGAAAGAGAGAGGAAGGCCATTAGACCCCTCCAACTCATACCCCCCAGCTGTGCTGTGTTCAAGGTAAAATGTTCTTTAACAAGGGCCATCTGTTGCAGAATTTCTTATGGTGTTAGGCAAATGCCTACCACTTAAGATACATTTTAAATATTTTTTTTTAATTTCTTGCTATTGTATCCATAGATAAGCTGCTAACCATTTTTCTGTTAAAGCAGCCTACAGTAAAGTTCACAGAGCTGCAGTTAAAACTTGTGCTTTCTGCAATGTTTAATAACTGGTATAAGTGTTTTATATAGTGAAAGGCAGAAATGTTACACCTGATCAAATGCGGACCACAAGTGATATTGTTTTGAGGAAATGCTGCTTAGCTGTTTTCATCTAGAGTTATTGATATCAGATACTGTTTTCCCCATCTTTCATAAGAAAACTCATTATCCATATCAATACTGAAATAAATGCCATAGGATCAGTAGGACAGTTTGGCTTTATCATATCCAGCTTATCTAACTTACAGACTACAGTAGCTTTCCCAAGCAAATAGGAGCATGGCGAGTTTTCTGTTTGTGGGGAAGAAAATAAGTAGTTATTGTCTGAAAGAAGGCTGATAAGGAGTTCTCAACATTAAAATAAATGGGTTGAACAGGGCCTGTGGTAATCTGAGAAGTAGTTTCAGCCCAAATATCTTCAGTGTGGTTGACAAGATGAAAGACTTCTGAGAGTAAGGAGCTGTAAATCTAGGAATCCTCATATAGTCTGTATAGTCTGTATAGTTCTGCCTTTCATTCCCATTTTTGTGTACTGCCCAGGTGACCAGAGCAGTGGTATTAATTCAGTTTACTCATATACACAAGTGATTTGTGACAGATTATTTCTTATTGCTACTGAAAGTCCTTCTTCTTGCCTGTTGGTTTTCAAGATTAAATAAAAATGCAAATTTCATTGAAAGTTTCATTAAGACTTTCCTCAAAAGGCTGTTTTAATTGCTGTATATTTGTCAGCCTAGAAGAATGTCCATCATAACATAGTATGGTTCAGTACAACTCTACTTTTTTTTTTTTCCCCTAAGGTGAGGTGGAACCAGTTCAGTGCCTTACATTACGTGTTATGTCAATTTTTGTGCTATGATTAAAATGGCAGTGGCCCAGTTACAAGGTCTGTCATACATGGGCATTTCTTAAGAACTGAAAACAGGAAATGTGATGCTGGGACATCCAAACAAAGATTTCTGGAAGACCAAGAAAGCCTGTGGTGGGAAAGGTCTATGTTCACTGTTATTAAAATTAAAGTACTTTATGTCTTTTATCTATGCATAAAAAGAGGAGCAACACAGTTGTATGTTTAGTGTCTTGTTTTGAAGGTCAAAACATTAAATAAGTAGTACTGTTTACGTGTAAATTCACCTGAATTTCTTAGCTTAGACTATAGACTCATTATATTCCCAAAGATTTTGTATAGAGCATTTGCAACGTGGTGAGCCAAATACTTTCAGGTATTTTTATTTCTAGACAGCACCGAATTACTTCATACTGAAAGAAATTCTGTGGGGAGCTTCTGGAGACAAATTATGGTGATAAAATATTAAAGAGAGGATTTTTAATAGATGTTGTGTTGCAAACTGGGATGCAGGTTGAAATATCTAGTTGTTTAGTTACGCCTGAACCAGTGTTTAAGAAACTAAAATAGCAAGCTGGCTTCAATTTGCATTTTGTATTTCCAGTCATCTGCATCATTTGTGTATGTGAATGAATGTAGTGTGTAGATGATTAAGTAGTGCAAGTTTAATGTTGCTCAGGTAGAGCTTTCAAACTGTCTGGCCTTTTGGGATCTTCTCACGAGCATATAGCAGAGCAGCAAACTCCTCGCTTTCTAGGCTGTCATGGTTTAAGCCCAGGGAGCAACCCAGAACCACGCAGCCGCTCGCTCACTCTCCCCCTCCACTTCATCCCCCTGCTGCTGGAGGGATGGGGGGGGGAATCGAAAGAATGTAACTCCCATGGATTGAGATAAGAGCAGTCCAGTAACTAAGGTATAACACAAACCGCTACTGCTGCCACCAATAATAATAATGATAAAGGAAATAACAAGGGAAGAGAATACAACCGCTCACCACCCGCCGACCAATACCCAGCCCAACCTGAGCAATGATCTAGCCCTTTGGGGTAACTGCCCCCAGTTTATATACTGGACATGATGTGCTGTGGTATGGAATACCTCTTTGGCTAGCTTGGGTCAGGTGTCCTGTCTCTGCTTCATCCCAGCTTCCCCTCCCCCCTGGCAGAGCATAAGACTCAGAAAGTCCTTGGTCAGAGTAAACATTACTTGGCAAAAACTAAAAACATCGGTGTTGCCAGTGTTGTTCCCAGGTGGAAAGTCAGAAACACAGCACTGCACCAGCTACTAAGAAAAGGAGAAAAATGACTGCTACTGCTGAGCCCAGGACATAGGCTTTGAAAAATTATGTAACTTAATGTTATCAAAAAAGTTATAAAGAATTTACTGAATAGTAGGGGGTACTGCCGACCTTCCCTCCCCTCCCCAAAACAAAACAAAAAAAAGCCAACCAAAAAAACCCCAAAACATAACAGAACCCCAAACCCCCCAAACCCAACCAAGATCAGATAAATGTCAGGCAGTTTGAGGCAGGTATTTTATCTTTATTTTATCCAGAATGGTCTGTCCTTCGTCCTTTCTGCAAGCACACTCCTTTTTTGTGACAAATTCTCATTTCCCTCATTGGCCTATTGTACTGTACTTTGGCTTTATACCAATTGTGCTGGGTTATGCATTACAGGCTGTATTGCACACAGTTAATTGAGGAGTATAAATACATAATTATTAAGCTACTGCTTCTTAATGTTTTTATTATTGTTATTTTCCAGAATATCTCAATATTTTCTCAAGAAGCCAAAAATTTCCATTGTTGATTAACTTATAGCATCAAATTCTGGTATCCCAAATTAGCCAATTTCAATTCACTTTCAGAATTCAATCACCCAAGTAATTTTAATATCAGTACTAGGCTCAATCTGAAGGATCTCTTTCAATTTTTGACAGCAGATAGTCACAGAACAAATGGAAAGGTTTATCCAAGGCAACTGAGTGAAATACCATAAGGCTGCCCTTTTGGTGAGATATTTCTGGCGAAATAGACTTTATAGGATATGGTTTGGGTTTTTAAAAACAAGACCAAACCCAAAACAAAAACCACAACACCACATGACAAAACACACAACCCATCCACAACCATAAATCAATAAATGAAATCCAAAGCTCACTTAATTGTCTGATAGTGTTTGTTAATGCTGTTACAGCCACAATAACTAGTGAATTCTACTCTTCTTAAAACATTTGTAAATATGAGTTGTTACTTTTTCTAAGTAACAGATGACTCAGATACAAATTGTACTTTCAGAAAATCTGTTGAGACTTCATGTATTTCCATGTCACTAATGGGTTTTTGATCACTTCAGCTGACTATTTCTGTTAGTGACTTTGCAAAAACAAGGAAATTCCAACTTTTTTTTTAACTCTTGCCTATAATTTAAAAGGAATGGTGGTGGCTTTTCAGCTTGAGGCTGAAAAAGCCTCTGTGATCTTTGGAAGCATTTAATTATGATTAGATAGCATCCGAGACCAGATATACTGAAAGTCTATAATTAAATTTTGGGTTTGGTCTTCAAAAAAAAAAAAAATCATTCTGAAAAAATTGATAAACTTAATGTTTGTTCTGTAGGCAAGAAAAGCAAACACTGTATAGAAAACACTAGTTCAGAAACTATTAAATAAAAGCTTCATTTTACATGAACTTTTGAGGTTTAGATTCAGTAGCATTTTTACCTGTGGACACAGCTGTATACAAGCCTGTATTTCTTTTCTGAGTGAACATTTTAGTATCCTTAAGTGTCAGAAGTTGTTTGAGCAGGAAATATTATTTGTTATTAGCATGTTATTGTTTTGACTGATTGATACAAAGATTGCATTTGTTCCAAGATATCACAGCTGTACCTGTGACTTCCGTTCTTCAAATACATGTGATACATTCAGTATGCAAAAGTAGAGGGGAGTTAGTAGCACCTGAATTTGTTTACAGTACAGTATTTTGTTTCTGGTTTATCCTGGCCATTTCATATTGGTGAGAAAGCTCACCAATCATATTCATGGATACATACACATAGATCCTCTCATACACTTTCATGGATAACAATGCAATACTTTGATACTTTTCATATTTTGCATGATTTGCTAAATACTTGTTAACAATTTGGTACTTTAAGTCTAAACTGGCACACTATGACCAGGTTATACAACTGAAATGTTAAATGACGCTAAGAAATTTGTAATTGTTTGCAGTTATTTTGTAGACTCTAGCAGTTTGTCTGTTGTCTTCTCCCTGTCTGCCTATGCAAGCACAATTAAACTACACTTTAAACTCAGTCAGTTTTTAGGGGATTTTTTACATTTCAAATTAGCAGAAGGCAAAAATGTAAAAAAAAAAAAAACAAAACCAAAAACCCAAACCCCAGACAAAAAAACACATACAAAAAAAAACCTCCCCAAAACAACAAAAACCACCCTCAAAACAAAGCCAACCAAAAAACAAAGCCAACAAAAAGCCAAAAACAAACCCAGGCAAACTTTTGAAGATGTCTACAGGGAAATGACAAGATTTAATTTTTTTAAATCAAACTGATATTGTAAAAGTTAATCTGGTTCAGTTGGGAAAATCATTCCTGATGGACTTGTATAGCTAGAAAAATACGAGCAAGGCTAATAATTCTATAATGCAATGAAGTAATACAGAGCTTGCGAATGTTCCATAATTAGGTGATGCATAGACATAGTAAATAATTTGTTATATTTGGATTTTACTGTGTTTTGATCATTGTTTTTCTTGTGATTCTTAGGTGCTGCAGTGGCTGGAATTTACAGAGTAGCAGGAAAGAATATGGCTCCCTTAGAAGCTCTTGTCTTTGGTGTTGGACAGACAGTACTGACGTTAATTATATCATTTTCAAGAATTCTTGCAACGCTTTGAGACTTACGTAGAAGGGGAAAAAATCAACTAGTTTAAAGAAATTCTTAATCTGAGGAGAAGCTTCCTGAAAATGGATTCACCAGCTTGCGAACTTGAATCTAGTGCGAGAGAAAGGAAGCTATGTGGAACATGCACTACAAAGCTGGAGGTTCAGTCAAATGAGCAGACTGTCCTCTAGTGTCTGAACTGTTGTACTTCTGCACTGCGCCTTAACGTGCCTCAGTCATAGGCAAGGTGCAATCCTTGTGTGCGAAGTTGACATAAAGCACCTTGAATAGCTGCCAGTCAGGTTAATGCTGAGTGATGGGATCATTGTTCTTAACAGTGTTGTAATAAAATAAAGGGATGCTCCTGAAAATTTCTGTACATGCCAAATTTGGAGTTTAATTCTTAACTGTTGGCTGCGTAAGCTTTGAAGTTGTAGTTGTAGAAGGATGCTGTGAGCATACACTTGAATTCAGGTAAAATAGCAACTGACTTTTGTATTAAGCAGAATCTCTTTGGCAAAAAGGTAAAAAAAAAAAAAAGTAAAATTGAAGCAATGTGCAGAGAAACAGCAAGATTCAGTTTTCTTAAAACGAACTTCTTCAGCATTCGTAACAACTGAACAACTGTTAGGTCTGTTTCAAAGATGAATTTTTGGGGCTTAAGAATGACAGCTTTAGCAACCCTTTTAGCACCAATGTAATTAGCACTATGTGTAGAAGGGCTCATGGCAGTTTTCTGAAGCTCAGCACATAATTTCTTCATGGGTTTAGCTTGTTAGAAATCAGTAGTTTTAGGAGACTGTATGCGGGTTACTAAGTACAATCTGTTGTGTATTCACAAACGAATTTTAAGTTGATGCTTTCCTTGAAATTATTTTGTCTTAAACATACAGATTGTTACCAGCCCTTCTGAAAGCCTGAGAAAGGTTACTTACTAGTAATAAGCTCCCTGTATTTATTTAAGCACTGGTAGGACTCTTAACCCTACATGTATTCTTTAAAGAACACACAAATATAACAGACTTTAAGAGAATACACCTATGAGGAAAATGGAAAGGGATAAAAATATGACCTACTGGTTTTCTACCGAACAAAAGTATTAAGTTTAAAATAGTTACTATACACCAAAATTTTTTAAAGTGGGGCAGCACTAATGTATTTACTACCTTGTTTCTGAACACTTTGTATCTTTGGAAAGATTAAGGTACCTGGAACATTCAAATACTTAGTTTTCAGTAGAGTTTGTGCTTTTCTAGTCTAAAAGGGACAGTAGTGTTGTGCATGTGAAATGTCTTAAATGTGAATGTTTTGGAGTGAATAGAAATTTTAAGTCTAATTACTAATTATTTATGAAACACAAAATTTAAAGGACACAAAGTTCTGTGTGAGGAATAAAGCGTCTTTTAGACCTTTCCTCAACTGAATGCTTTTCAGCAGTTACTTTTTAATGCTGGCAGGAAGAGTAAATTGCTGAAAAGTGATGTTGTTAAGATGTCAAAAAGACTTTCAGGGCTGTTGAAGCCACTGGGACCAACTGCAAAACTGAAAGAATATGGTTAAAATATAACTTGCAATCCAGTCATATTGCCTAGTGCTTCAAAATGTTAATAATTAATTAGCCTGTCTGCCTTTTTTTTCATTTCACATGAACTGTTTTTGGTTGGTTGTTTTTTAAGTATTAAGTATGTTAATATTATTTGTTTTCTTTTAAAGTATATGTCGTCTTTGGAAAATGTAGAGAGTTATGTCTTTGCAGGGAACAAGGTGACATACAGGTTTGTAAATCTTTTCAGTATTATTTTTGTCTTTGAATTGCTTTAAAAAATGGCTGAATATATACCTTTTTAATGTCTTCAAAAAGTGTATTTTTCATGGTTTTGGGTTTTTTTTGGTCTGTGGCTTTTGTTTTGTGCTGATACTTTTTGGCATATAACAATCATTGCACTTTAGCAGACAATGAAATTATTACTTCTGTAAAAGGCAATTTAAACTTCTCCCCATTGTCTTAAATTATGAGAAAACTGGTTTCAGGTGTTTAAGTCAAATTGAATAATAAAATAATTGAACGTATTTCTCCTAATGTGCCTTGTTACATATATTTTTAGGGGAGAGGATTTAAAACACCACCAAATTATATCTTCATTTTTGTTCTATTTTTGTTATTTCTGGTTAATTTGGTTATTTGATATGTCTTACTCAATAGACATTAAAACGTTTGTCTGACAACCTAGAAAGTGTTTGTCTGGATCAAACCCAGGTGTTTCATGAAGCACTGTATTCAGTAATTTAGATTGCCTCCTGACTTTAACTCACACTGCAACTTCTTCGTACTTTCCAGTTTCCTGGAGCATCTTGACTCTTCTTCATTGCAAGAGGCTGTTGTGCTACCACTGATCAATGGCTTGCTGTCTTTCACCAAGTTAAACTATAACACTGCTATTAATGAAATGCATACACAAAGCTTTTCTTGATGAACTTCATCATTTTAATTGCCGTGCCAGTGAAATTGTTGCCATTATAACCTTTCCCCTTTGAAAAGGAGAGATCTTTGCAAATATCAAGTTATGCCTTCTGCCAAATAATTTTTATCATTGTAATAACTTCTACAACACTGTTAGGTGCTTAGTTGTCTCTGCTTTATATGGCTGTATTGCCTTGCACAGTGAATAGGCAGATAATGTAATGCCTAAGTGGCTTAAAAGAGAAGTATTTGATAGAAAATTGTTTTTAACTATTTCTTGTGAGGAATATATGAGGACAGATAGGTTGTCAATGAAGTAGTATTTGATCATACTATGAACTTAACTGTGTGATAACTCCAGTAGTAGAAGGAAGTGTAAGTGGCCTTATGTCTATGATAGTTTGAAGTTTCATTCCACGTCCTTAGAAACAGTATTGTTTAACATAAGGTGCTCCAGTGAGTGCAATGTATGCATATATGTATTGTTTATATATGAATAATGTTTTTGCGGTGTGTTTGATACCTTATGGATGCTAGAAATCGAAATAACTTTTCCAAGAAAGAAAAAATTATTTCAGGTAACTGGTTTTGGCTTTATTGATTTTATTTTTGGTTTCATTTTGTTTTGTTTTTGTGGGGGTTTGTGTTTTTTTTTTTGTGGTTTGGTGTTTTTTTTGTTTTTTGGTTGTTTTTTGTTTTGTTTTCCTCTTGTTATTAGGCTACAAAGATATCTTGTGTGTGAATGGCACCAATGGTACTCTGATTCCCTTTGGACAATACAGTGTTGTGCAGATGTCCACACAAGATCTTTTAGCACTATCTTCAAGTAGCTCTGCCTGTCTCTGCATTGTATCAGTAGGCACATTCTGCATTGTGAATGATTAATTTCTAGTGAGGAACAAATAATGCATCAACACAATTTAATCTTTGGAGGAGAGGGAATACTGAATATAATATTCAAAGTGAAGAAGCTTCTACTGCTTTGTTAGAAGCTGTTATTGTTAAGGATTTACACATTCTACACACTTCCGATTTTTAATGTGATCATAGAACCAGAGAATTGGAGGTTGAAAGGTACTTCAAGGATCACCTGGTCCAACCTTTCTTGGTAAAAGCACAGTCTAGACAAGATTTCCCAGCACCCTCTCCAGATGAATCTTAAAAGTGTCTAACACTGGGGAATGCACCACTTCCCTGGGTACATTATTCCTCTGTCTGATTGTTCTCATTGTGAAAAATTTTCCTCTTATGTCCAACTTCAGTCTTTTCAAGAGTATCTTGTACCCCTTACCCCTCATCTTTTCCATGTGACACCTTGTAAAAAGGGAGTCTTCATCTTCTTTGTAGATAAAGGTCTCTCCTTGAGCCTTCTTTTCTTAAGGCTGCGCTAACCCAGCTCTCCTAGCCTCTCCTCACACAGCAGGCTTCCCAGTCCTCTGAACGCCTTTGTGGCCCTTCTCTAGACCCTCTCCAGCCTGTCCACATCTTTTTTGCATAGTGGGGACCAAAACTGAGCACAGTATTCCAGGTGTGCTTGACAAGCAATAATGGATACCAAGCTCCACAATATTGTGATTGTTACAGCTAAGGCTATCACTAACTGTTATTACAAAGCAGTTTTTCTTGGTGTGCGAGTAGCAAGAAGTCCAGAAGTGCCTCATTCCTGGTTGGCACCTGTATGAGGAGCAGTCATCTATGCATTCCAGGAACTTGACAGATGACATGTGAGCTGCTGTATTGTTTTTCCGACATATATCTGGGTAGTTGAAGTCACCCATAAGAACCAGCTTCTGTTGACCCAAAGCTTGCTGAAGTGATGCAAATATTGCTCCATTGGCTCCCTTGTCTTGGCTTGGAGATCAGTAGCAGATGCCTATGGTAAGATCGCTTTAGAGATGACAGCTCTAATCTTGAACTGGAGGCATTTGATAGGATTTCTACAATTGCTGAGTTGACTTCTATACATTCAAGGTTTTCCTCAAAGCAGAGTATAATTCTTCCTTCTCTTCTTCTCTGCCTGTCTTTGTAAAGCAGCCTATAGCCATCCATCACAATCCTCAGATCGTGTGATCATTCATGTTTTAGTTATTCCTATGATATCATAAATTCCTGTCCAGATGCAGAGTTCCAGTTCCTCCTGTTTTTCCCCCAGGCTGTGTGCGTTGGTATACATACACTTGAGGTGGCTGGTCTTCTGGTTCTTACCTTTGGAGCAGCTAAGGAACATTTGTCACTGCTCCAGTTGGCCTGACTTACTCCCCAGACCAAAAAATCCCAACCTATATTGCAGGAAAAAAGTCTTCTAAATAATTACTGTCTTTAATTTTGTAGCTAACTTAGAGTTTATGAAATTAATCTGTGTACCTAGTGATATAATTCTGAGTTTACTTTTGACAGTTTTTTAAAGGAACCAATCATTTAACCAGTTTTGAACGTTCAACGTGGACCAAAGAGAGCAGTCCTGATTTTGTGTAAAGTAGCTTTCTGCTTTTGAAGTATACTGTTTCATTGCTCTAATGGCAATAATGTTCCCTCTTCAACATATTGCACATAGAGATTTATTTTGCTTACAAGCTGTATTTGAATTCTGTTGGGGGGAGAGGCGTATATGGTGCCATTTGAGTGGAAGCTCTAATGGAGCTCTAATAAGTGTAAGAAGTGATTTAATTGTTATTTCCTGTTTTAATTTATGTATTTCATGCACTAAGCATACTCTAATAATGCCTTCTCTTCATTAAATTTGAATATTATAAGCGTATTAAGCTGCATGGTTTCATACTCAGCCATTCAACATCACATTTGTGTAATTCCACATAAGCAGACACAATAGTATTCCTGGGTGTAATGAAGTGTGGATGAATCAGGGCCAAAAAAGACCCAGTATGTGACTCTAATAAGGCTTAGAAAAACAATTGTAAACATGAAAATTTTTTTTTCAGCCACTCTTCTGTTTCTAGAAATAAGCTTTTTTTTATCATATGTGTATTTCAGTTAAGGAGAAAAATATGAAGATTAGTTGTTAGGATGACAACCGCAGCCTAATCTAATTCCGACAATTTAAGATGAAATGAGATTCTCAATGTTGTTCATAAATTATAATGGAATGTTACACATATAAATTCTGTAACATAATTTTATTTAGTTAACCAGAATTTACCATAAAACTGCATGAGCCCACTGACAGAATACCTTTTGAATTATTTTTTTTAACTTCTGGACTGGGATCAGCCCATGGTGAAAAGACTTTAAATCCTCAACTGTTGCTTCAGAAGGAATAAGTGTTCTTTGTGTACTGGTGAATTCAATGCAGCTGAAATTTTTTATTGCATTTAAAGTCAGATATTTGGTCATGCCTTGGTTGCCACCACCACAATCTTTAAGGTGAGCAGGAAAACTATTCTGTGCTCTGTTACAGCAGTGAAATCTTCAGCTGGGCTGCGTTAGTTTGTGTCCTACTCATAGGACATGCTCACTTTAACTGCACATTTCTTGGTGAAAATGAAGTTGTTGTAGAAGGTAGACTTTAACATGAGTACATATCATTGGGTACCTTGTAGGTGAAAAAGACAGTGTCCTACCAGCATGCTGTTCCCCACATTTGTTCCTAGACTTATACTTGAAATCAGTTTGGGCATCAGGTTTAAATGTGATCACAGAAATGTCTCTAAATCTGCAAAGGTATGCTACTGCTCAGGGTGTTCTCCCAGTATAGCAGGTATAAAAGCTATTAGACTCTGGAGTAATGTTCTAAAGAAGTATTTTCTTTCAGGAACACATTTTTTTCACTTCTAGTTGTTTATCTTGTAGTTACTGAATGTTTTAGGAAGGTGCTGTATGTTTTAGGAAGGTACTGTGTGAATACCAGTAAGATTTGTCAGTTGTTAAAGGGAATGGATTGCACATCCTTTTGTGCTGCTTCTGTGAATTGGAAAAAAAACCCAAACCACGAAACAATTCTAAGGGAACGTAAATACTCAAGAAATATTTTCAATAAAATACATAATATTTGATTGCTGTAAATAGCATTTTGATTTGAGATCTAACTTTCTCAGTTTAATTCAGGTATTTATCATTACCATTATATAATATATTTCTGGATTATTCATCAATATAAGGTATATATATGAGGCCTTTGGAGCTAAAAGTCTAAAACCTCTTAAAATCAGGTGGCTGGAGATTTTAATAGTTTGAAAAGTGCTAAGCTTTTATACAGACAAAGAAGTTTTGAAGACTAAATATTCTGTGGGTTTAGAGGATAATCAGATATTTATACAACTCAAATTTTGACTGTGGCAATATACAGAATAGAACATAATTCTTCAGAAATGCTTACAGAAACCACTGTAGACAGATAGCTGAATTTACAGTTAGAAAAAGGCTACAGTATTTTACATCTGTATTGATACCTATAATAGTTGTACCATAAGCTTTACAAATACAGTCAGCATTATAACCATTTGGATTTGGCTGAGCAAATAAGGAGGAGAGGAAAAAGGAAATTTGAAAATCTTTAAAAATGATAAAGGTAAAAAGGTTCTCTTAGTCCACTGACAAAATTGGGACCCTCCAGTACTGGCTTTCATCATACGCAGTAGGTCATACACAATGCAGGATAATATCTCTCTATAAAATGTCTTGTGAATAGAATGCATTATGCAAATTTGTATTAGAAATAAATGTTCATATTTTCACTTGAAGTTACCTAAATTAAAAGGTCATGACCTAGGGGTTATTCTGAAACTCAAAGATAGCAAGAACTGTGACAGAGAAGAATGATTTAACATGTAAGTTGATTTATGTTGTTACAGGATTATATTACACTCAAAGGTATTAATTTTGAGTTGTGGATGTATTGCATGTTCATGTAACAGTTTAGCTCCAATTAACAAAACAAAAAGGTTGACATCTAAACTGTAAATACTGTATAGTATTCTTTTTTAGCAACTTTTTTATTTCCCTGTTTGTGTACAGTTCTTTATGTATATATAGAAACAAACAAAAAAAGCAAACTGCAACATTTTGAGACACTTTCATAGTTAACTTTTGCATTTTAATTGCAGTAAAGATCTAAACATGTCCATTGAGCTGTTTGTTTAGTTCTAAGTTTTCCCTGTATGTGTTCAGGTTCTCTGAAAAGCAGCAATAACAGTTGGACATTTATTTAAAGTAAAACTTTCTTCTGTGCAGTTTCCACTTCCATGCTTTTGAATGGAGGCACAATGGAACATTTGTCCAATTGTAAGATTTCCAGAGTCTTTAAGTAGTTTTTATGTCTCTTACTTTTTGTGATAGAAAATGTTTCATAGTAGCTTGTATACAGAATTTACAAATCAAACACAATTCCTTGTGATCTTTTTTTTGATTAAAAATTGCTGTTAAAATATTTTCATGAACTTTCTGTAGCTTACTGCATGTCCTTATAAGTAACCATAAAACTGTGTGTCGACTTCTGTGTGAAATACTCTTGATAACAAGTTTTACATTTTGTGAACCTGATTGAAATGTACAAATGTACACATAAAATAAAGCTAAAATTAGTAATTAAGTGATGCACTTTCTTCTGCAAGCGTCTTATTTCTGCTTTATAGATAGGGAAATAACCCTCAGTGGAACCTGTGTTGG